GTATGTTGTTATGCGGTCTGACCGATAAAGATCTTCGTAGAATATGTAGGAACCAATATGGGCATCCAGGTCCCGCTATTGGTTATTGACCGGAGACGTGTCTCGGTCATGTCTACATTGTTCTCGAACCGTAGGGTCCGCACGCTTAAGGTTTCGATGACAGTTATATTATGAGTTTATGAGTTTTGATGTACCGAAGGAGTTCGGAGTCCCGGATGAGATCGGGGACATGATGAGGAGTCTCGAAATGGTCGAGACGTAAAGATCGATATATTGGACGACTATATTCGGAGTTCGGAAAGGTTCCGAGTGATTCGGGTATTTTTCGGAGTACCGGAGAGTTACGGGAATTCGCCGCGGAGAAGTATTGGGCCTTATTGGGCCCTGCGGGAAAGAGAGAGGGGCTGCCTAGGGCAGGCCGCGCGCCCCCCCATGGCCTAGTCCGAATTGGACTAGGGGGAGGGGCCGCACCCCCTCCTTCCTTTCCTTCTCTCTTCCCCTTCCTTGTCTCCTACTCCTAATACATTGAAGGACTCCTAGTTGGACTAGGAAAGGGGGAATCCTACTCCCGGTGGGAGTAGGACTCCCCTAGGGCGCGCCATAGAAGAGATCCGGCCCTCCCCTCCTCCACTCCTTTATATACGGGGGTAGGGGGCACCCTATGGACACAGAAGTTGATCATTGAGATCGTTCCTTAGCCGTGTGCGGTGCCCCCCTCCACGATATTACACCTCGGTCATATTGTAGCGGTGCTTAGGCGAAGCCCTGCGACAGGAGAACATCAAGATCGTCACCACACCGTCGTGCTGACGGAACTCCTCCCCGAAGCTCTGCTGGATCGGAGCCCGGGGTGCGTCATCGAGCTGTACGTGTGTCAAGAACTCGGAGGTGCCGGAGTAACGGTGCTTGGATCGGTTGGACCGGGAAGACGTACGACTACTTCCTCTATGTTGCGTCAACGCTTCCGCTTCGGTCTACGAGGGTACGTAGACAACACTCTCCCCTCTCGTTGTTATGCATCACCATGATCTTGCGTGTGCGTAGGAATTTTTTGAAATTACTACATTCCCCAACACCCAGTAAACAAGAAGAAAAGTTGACTTGTAAAGCAGGCATTAAATTTTACATTAGTACCCGTAATCCGAGTTTGTGGCCTTGTATACAAAAATGGAGGGAGTATTTTATGTTCATGTCCCAGGTTCATTTATGAAAATAATTAACACACTCGAGCAAAGCATGAAAAAACAATGTTAGAACACATTCAAACCTGGAGGGCTGGATGATTAGATGACAGGATAAAACATGAAATTTCCATTGGTGTGGTATCTGTACTAGATGTATATAATACATTTAGCTCACTAGATGTGTATAAACACACTGAACAACATATCCATTGACGGAAAAACAATGTTGCATGCCACATACATAGAAACAAGAATTCAGTAAAAAAAAATTGAGCTCAAAATCAGTCCTGAGGATACACTGCACGGCATCACTTGTATTTACAGTTCATTAAAACACCACATTATGGGGATATGTGCACATTCATTTGAATTGGCAGTATAGGAATGAAAACAACACCATTAAAATACACATTTAAGCTGTGTAGCTCAACCCACATGTATCACAGACGCGTATTCAAATTAACCAATGGTGTCGTTTTGGTATTCATTAGTTTGCTATATTAAGTGCTAATCTCATAGCACATACGGACAGCCCAGATTTCATCCTCGCGTGGCACCATGTCCCAAAATTCACGTCCCTGAGTGTAATTGGTATCATCTTGAATAATATCTTTATCAAATGAAAAGTCATTGGCTAATTGTTTGTTGGCTCTAGGATTGAATGAGAGTAACTGGTAAGTTTCCATTCGTTGTTCTTTATATCCTCTTTAGTTCTTGTGCACTGGATAATAAATACCTACAATTGTGATCCAAGCGAGTATCATAGGAACTAAATCATGTTTAGACTAGTATGTCCCAAAGGTTTATAAAGTAGGGGATGATACATTCCATGAATAAGTTTGGCATATCGCGCGTGGATGAGAGGTGGGTTGCATCACTTTTGATTCCACCCATGTTCGTCTTCATCCGTGCTACCAAAGATTCCACAAAAGCTTAAAAACTATTGAGTTCACCCTATCACGTAAATATGTTATTGTCAAATGCGGGGCAACAAGAGATGGATGTGGTCATTGCAAGGGAAGTCAAGAGTAACACGGACTACATATCTAAGACAAGACATAAGGGGGATACTATATCAGAGTGAACTATATATGCCACCTTATGTTGATTTTTTGCAGGAAATATAGGTTATGAGGATGATGGGAAGAATTACCCCAACATATATAGCCAACACAAACATATAGTCGTGACCACACATTAATTACTTATTTGTGCCAGAGTTAACAAATTTTGAAAGTAAGCTTGAGTCATTTCTTCTTTTGACTACAATATATCATCAATATGATTGAAGTGAATCAAAGATGTGCTAAAAGATTGCTGGAAGGAGTAGGGCATTTTGAAGACCGAGCTCCATGGATCCCTTTATTTTGAAAAATTCAAAATTCATAAATTTCAGTTTCAAAAAATTCTGAAAACAAATACACATGTATGCAAGGATGTGAAGTGTATGTGTGAAAAATTTTAGGATGAAATACCATGTGTTGCGAGCTGCACAAAAAAACCAAAATCATGGACTGTATAGATGAGCAGTACTTATGCTAAAAGCCTCGGATTTGTCTTTTTTGTGTAGCTCACATTTTAATGTATTTCGATTTGAAAATTTGCACACATGTACATTATGTATCTAGGTATATGTGTATTTATTTTCAGAATTGTTTGAAACTAAAAAGTTTGAAATTTGAAGTTTTCAAATAAAAGCCTCCATGGAGCTCGGTCTCCGTTTAGCATTTTCGTGTTTGACGGAATGGACTTTTCGTCCTGGGCGGGCTGGGGGCACCTGCATGACATTCTTTTGGACCGTCCATGGCATAAAAAAATTATGGTAGAAGTGAGGGCGAGGAAATTTTTAGAGAGTTCCTGGTATGTGGTGGGTTGTTGGAGCCGAGCGATGTAGTGGTTTGTGCATTTCTCTCGCACGTGCACGTGTGTGATCCTTTCGCTAACTGAACCCGAGCGAGATTAAATTGCCAAGTCTGGAACAACATGATAATACCTAAGGGAAAAGGCTGGCAAAAGCCTGATCTTGGGCGGGCCAAGGTCAATGTTGATGGAAGTTTCATGGAGGAGAGCAGCACTTGAGCATGGGGAGTTGTGGTTCAAGATCATGATGGGAGAATTATTTTATTTGCCTAGGATTATATTCCGCGATGCAATGGAGTAGACTTTGTGGAAGCTACTGCTTGTATAGAAGGACTACGATACAGAGCTGCCGGACGATGGAAGGCGATGTCGTGTATGGGGCTTCCTTTAGTTATTGAGCCAAACAACAGCTAGTGGCAAAGGCACTCGACCCCTCATGTGTGGACTGGTCGGAAATTGCAGTGATTGCGAAGGAATTTCAAGTCATTAGGCAAGAAAATAGAGAAGTTAAAGTCTGCAAAGTAGATAAAAATGTCAATAGAAGGGACGCAGAGTTTCTGCACCCGAGCTCAAAAGAGCTTGGGTGAACAGTAAAATTGAAACAAAATCAAAAAAAATTCAAAAAATTCCAATTTGTTTGGGGTGAAATATTGACAAAAGTTTTAAGTGCTTGCAAAAATTCGTCTTGAAATCACATTCCTAGAAGCCATGAAAAAAAAACAAATTTGATACTCTAAAAATGCTACTTTCAAAAGCATTTTGGAGCATCAATTTGTTTATTTTGCCATGCCTTACAGAAATGTGATTCCATGACGTATTTCTGCAAGCAGATACAACTTTTGTCAATTTTTCTCCCCCCAAAAAATAGTTTTTTTCCATTTTTTTTATTTTACTGTTCACCAAGCTCATTTGAGCTCCGGAGCAGAAATATACTTTCGCTATAGATGCCCATAGTCTTGGGCAGTTTGGGTGTAGAGAGTTTCTTGATGGTGTTATGCGAGGGACAGTGCCAACTACGTGTTGAGCTTCTTTTTACAAGATTGTAAGAACTTTGTTTCCTCTTTTAGTTAATATAAGCTATCTATTTTGAATAAAAAGTAAGAAAGTAGAAAATAGATAAAATAGGAATATAAAGTTGAAAATAAAAAATAAAAAAGAGGGTATGGCTTGGGTTTGGGCCAAAGAAAGTCCTAGGCATTGTCGGTCATGATTGTAGTTGTTGAGGTCGAGTCATACAAGAACTTTTGGCAAAATAAAGAACTGAGTGCTAACAAATCTTACCATTGACAGATTTTGATAAAGCTAGTAATTAAATTACAATAAATAAAAAATCAAAAAGTAAATTTACGATAAAAGGTTGCGTTTTCAAAAGAAAAATGAAGTTTTTAGGCTAAAAATAAAAATTAACTTTTTTTGAGGAATAAAAGAAATTAACTGGACCCACACTTGAGGGCTCTCTCTGCTGACCAGTCCCTTTGAGAGCATTCCTTCCTTCAATTATCAATCTGAAAGCGCATACGATAAGAGACGGCCCAGCCCATACGCATCTGTGTGTTTATATATCTGCGAGAGCAAGGAAAGGATGACCTACCCTAGCCTGGGAAAATATCTGGTGCTCCGGGAGCACCTAAGCTTAGGTGCTCCCGTGCGAGCTCAGTCGTTGGATCTCAGATCCAAGAGCACCTGTGAAATGATGAACATATTTGCAAAAGAGCCCTCGTAGAATCTGAAAAATGAGTGCAAGTACAGCAGCTACAGCAGCTCCTTGTATGCCGTTGGATCTGAGATCCGAGGGCCCAGAAGTCCGTATCATGGGAGCACCTATGCTCCCGTATCACATGATACTCTCCCACCCTAGCCGACCTCTCCTCCTCAGGCTCCTCTCCGCCGCCGTCACACTGCTGCCACCCACCCCCTACCACTGCTGTGCTGTTGCTCCTCGCATCGCACGGATCCATGGCCATGGCGGAGGCCGCAAGTCTCCTGCCTGGCCTCCCCGATGAGATCGCCACCTGGGAGATCCTCGTTCGCCTGCCCCCCAAATCCATCCTCCGCTGCCGTGCCGTCTGCCCCGCCTGGCACCGCGCCACCACCGCCCGCGGCTTCCTCCTCGCCCACCACGCCCGCCAGCCCGCCCTCCCCCTCCTTTACAGCAAAGATTATAATTGCAGCGTCGGCGACGACATCAAGTCCATAGACATCATCCCCTACGACCACAGGGCAGCCGACAAGCTCCACTCCGTCGCACGGCTTGATGGCGCCTCCCACATCTCTCTCGAGGCCTGCTGTGACGGCCTCCTCGTCTTACGCACCTATAGTAAGAGGGGTGAAGGCTACGCTCTGACGACCTTCATCTGCAACCCTGGCACTCGTCAATATGCTCCCCTCCATCAGCTTGATGGCTTCGGGCTCCTGGGAATGTACCCACACAGCCCGTCCGGCGAATACCGACTACTGGTGGTCCAAAAGACCAAGAAGAGTGATGGCTGCTACGTCTACACAATAGGCTCTAGCCAGCCGCCGAGGCACATAGGATGTCCTGATGACAAGGAACTGATGACTTCCCCTGAATCTGTCTTTTTCCGTGGTAGCTTGCATTGGCACACAGACACCATGATAACGGTGTTCGACACCACCAACGAGTCGTTCCGGCAGATGCACTCTCCCATGGTTTCGGCAGATGACCATGCTGAACTGTTTGAGATGAGTGACATGCTTGGCATGTTCTGTTTTAATGAAAAAGAGAACATTGTTGACATATGGGTGATGCAGGACTATGAAGGCGAAGTCTGGGCCTTACAACATCGGGTTAAATTGCCGATTGCAGAGATCATGGAGCAATTCGAATATTCTGGAGGTTGGTTTGATCTGGTGGCCGCATCTTGGGATGGTGACGTGCTACTGCTGATTCAATTTCAAGATAATTGGCTACTTCAGGTTGACATGGATGGCAAGTTGATTGTTAATATCCATCACAGATTCATGTATCCAACTCTACTTCGGCTCAAGCAATCTCTACTTTCACATATCTTCTTTCCGCCACTGGAGGATTATGTTGTCAATGCTTCACCTTTCATCTGACCAGATCATTATCTTCTGAATATCATTTATCCTTTCATCCAAGGTCTATTGAGTGTGGTTGTGCTTTTTAACGGCCTAGCCCTCCATATCTACACGGGCTACAGTATGTATTAACTGGATCCTCCATGAGACCACTAGCTTTTGGTAATGTATAAAAAGTTATGACCAAGAAGCTCTGGCTGTTATATGGTTGTGTTATATTTCTTATAGTATCATTTTGGGCTGAAGTGGTTGCTATGAATGTTGATGCTAAAATTACAAGTCAGTTGGATCAGCGTTTGGAATGCTGATTGCTCTGACCCATGTCTATGTTTTCTTGTACTGAAGAATGGACTTCACTTTTTCCCTATTTTTGTAGTGGTATGCTTAGTACTTCATTGTTAGCAATCTAGCTGCCTCTTGGTCTCTGTTTATCGAACCAAATAATTGACCTATCTTCTTATTAAGGTCTTCACTTTTAGAGTTTGACCATTCGTCCTTTAATACCTACATATTTAGACAATATATTGTTGATTCCTGTTTCTGTGCTTTGTTTTGGCTGACGATGAAATAAGGAAGATTATCCTCCTTGTTGAATAGCCAGTTGCACCTGATTACAAAAGAGCTTGCAACACTAGATAAATTGAATTTAGTCAACTTTCAAGTAAATGTTCTGTTCCACTTCTTTATTGTTCATGAATGGTCAGGTATTGAAACATAGCTTTGTCTTGCATCGTTTGGATTTACATATAACTTCATTATAACTTCTAATCACTTTAAGGAATCATTGCTTCATGTGATATTCAATCTTAAAATATGCTTGAGAAATGAAACTTGTACCGATGAGCCGAAGATTAAGAATTGGGTCCAATATGAGCCGTCTAGTTCCATTTTGATGTATACAAGTTATGATCAATGAGCTCTGAATGTTTCGTGGTTGCATGAAATTTATACTTGTGTGAATATCCTTTCGGGATGAAGTGGCTAGCATGTTGATGCTACAATTATTTAGTCGTTCTGGTCAGCATTTGAATAGTTGCTGATTGATCTGCCTCATGTCTCTGTTTTTCTTTGAATTGAAGAACTGCCTTATCAAGTTACAGCCTGCAGGTTTCTTCGTTGATGCATGTAAAGTTGTGATCAACAAACTCTTGCTGTTATGTGGTTGCGTGAAACCTATGCTTGTTTTGGTAGCAAAATTACCGATTCATTTTGGTGTGCGTTTGAAAGATATGCTCTGATCTTCCCCGTCTCTCTTCTCTATGATGAACTATTATTATTTAGGAATATGCATGTGTTTGAAGTTTCTAAGTTTTTTTCTTGCTGACGGTTGAATGTGACAGAAGATTATCTTCTCAATTTTTTTCGCTTGCTAGCATCCTCATGAGATGCAATATGTATAAGTTGGGTGCGCCTATGACCTAGCTAGTTTCTTTATTATGATCAAGAAGCTATGGCTGTGACATTGTTGCATGATATCCTTTTGGGATGGAGTGGCCACGTTGCATGCTGATGCTAAAATTATGAAATCGTTTTGGTCAACTTTTAATATAGTTGCCAGTTGATCTGCTTTTGTGTCTCTGTTATTATTTGAACTGAAGAATCGCCTTGTTTTTTTATGGAGGTCTTCTTATTTCTTAAAGATCATCCAGTAGTTTTCGTAACACAAAATATTTAGCTAGTATACATTGGTTTCCTCTCTGTATATTCTGCTCTAGCTGGTGATGAAATTAGGGCAGATTATCCTATTTGGTGACTGGCAAAGTGAATCTGATTTTTGCCCGCTAAACTGAATGATTGTGTTATACTAGCAGTCAAGTTCAGTTAATCATTTTGTTGTAAACATTCTTCTTGAAGTATCCATTGGATCTGGTTAGGTGTTGACATGTTCTGTTATAGTATTTCCGTCTTTGCTGTTGCATTTTTTGGGATTGTCTCTACCAAGGTCAGGGTCAGGTTCCAGATTGTGTTCCCCTGTAGACACTGAAGCTGTCAGACCGGTTTATTTTTCGTGTGACTGGCACGCAGACCATGTCGAGGCCATTGTCAAGCAGGGACATTGCCAGGAATTGCGTTTCGTGCAGATAATTGGTTACTGGATGTATCATGTGGCATTGCTGGATCTGGATGGGTCACTTGGACACTACACACATTCAGTTTTTCTTTTTGTGTGTTAGATAATTGTACATGGCGGGGACAATATTTTGCGTGTCTCTGGTTACAGTTTACACTGTCGATGCTCGATGGAACGTACAGGTGGAACACCGGATTGATATATTCCAGTGTGTTTGATTGAATTCAGACCGGCGAAAAGTCTCTGGACGTTGAACTGTATTCTCTTCCACCAGAGCAGACTGCATGCACAGCCAATGCAATAGAGCGGACGTACACTTTTATTCCAGGATTGCCATGGCCTCTGCATCAGTGCGCCATGTTCATTCCTAAAGCAGCTCGATGCTTGCAACTCCAGTCAAAGCAGACATGTATTTTAAGCCATCCATTTAATCTTCCATGTCTTCCTCTAGTTGGCTCCACATTTGCTGCTCGACCGCCACATTCGCTTCTTCCAGATCACAGAGCCTAATTAGTACTCCCTCCGTCCGGAAATACTTGTCATCAAAATGGATTTAAAGGGGTATATGTAGAACTAAAATACATCTAGATACATCTTTTTTTATTCATCTTGATGACAAGTATTTCCGGACGGAGGGAGTACATTCTAAAAACACTTATTTATTAAATGTGGCAAAGCTTTTGCCCTTTCCAGAAAACTACTAGATTTTGTCAGCTACTCGCTCCTTTCCATTTAAAAAAGGCCCACGTGTATCCCTACATGGTCACTTCAACTAATCAATACAAATTGTACATCACAAAAGTTATACCATTAGTAAATTAACATTTCTAGGGTGATGAACCGATGAAGAAATAACAAAAAGAGTGGTAAAGAAAAACTGTAGAAACGAAAGAAAAAACAAAAGAGGGAAGGTAACCATGGAAAAAGGTGAAAAAAAAGACAGAAAATTTGTGTGGGAATAATAGAAGGTAGCACGAAACTAGGTGCAAAAAAGATGGCAAATACTAGTGGGAAAACGAATAGGTTCTAGGTTGGGGAAATGTAAGAAAAGAAAAAACTAGCGCTCTCTTCATTCCGAAATTTATGGCACACAAATACACATGCAATTAATGTATTGTTTTCCTGTAAAAGCGTGTTAAAATTTTGAAAAGTGAAAAGTGAAATTAATCATGCATTATAGACAGTGAAAAGTGAAAGAGCTTCTTGGTTTGTGAGAATGGATGGAGCAGTAATTTGAACTCATGTGTTTTTTTGGATAATTAATTTAAACTCATGTGTTAGCATGGCATCCAGGATTGATCCTAGACGGTCAGAAGTTTCAACTCCTGGGCTCAATGACGCACGGAAATTATATAAAAAAATGAATCCTATAGTAAGCTTAGGAATTTGAAAACCATCTCACATGTACATGTGGCTGTACGCTGCATATATTTAGACAATACTATTATAAATAAACAATTGAAATTTGTGTTCTACACAAAGAAAACACAAATGTGTTTTCCTCAAAAGAGAACACAAATGTGGTGGTGCATAATGGCGGGAGATCCATTATATTACCACATATTTAGAATTTTCATGTCAGCTCAAAATAAAATATTTTATTTTATAATTTTGTAGATACGTAGTGAGAAATAGGATTTTGGAAATACCCAAGCGTGTTGTTTGATTTTAAGAAGAGAGAAACAAAAAACTATGTACATAATTTGGTTTCCCATACAGTACGATGACTCCGCATCACATGACCTAGGCTAAAAAGCCCAGCCCATGTCCATTCCTCATTTTTTTTCTACCCTAGAGTACGACTCCGCCTCCGCCGCCGCCGCCCACTCCTCTTCCTCTGCTCGAGAGCTCCCAGCCAGCGACCATGGCGGAGGCCGCCGCCGCAGCAGGAGCGACGCCACTCCTCCCCGGCATCCCGGATGAGATCGCCATCTGGGAGATCCTCGTCCGCCTGCCCCCCAAATCCCTCCTACGCTGCCGCGCCGTCTGCCCCACCTGGCGCCGCGCCACCTCCACCCGCCACTTCCTCCTCGCCCACCACCACCGCCAGCCCGCGCTCCCCCTCCTCTACGGGTACAATTTCATCGGCGACGACGTCGAGTCCCTGGACGTCATCCCCTTCAACCACCAGGCAGGGGTCGCCGCCGCCGACCAGCTCCAGTCCGTCGCACGGCTTGCACAACCCACACCCCGTCTGGATGCCTGCTTCCTTCTCGAGGCCTGCTGCGATGGCCTCCTCGTGCTCTCTGCCCTTTACCCGCCAAACTTCTCCATCTGCAACCCGGCGACTCGGGACTTTGCTCCCCTCCCGCAGCTTTATGGTTTCACCCTCTTGGGGATGTACCCGAACCCCCCTACTGGCGAGTCCGAGTACCGACTATTGTTGTACCAGGCCTCGACGAATCTGGCTCAAGGTGGCTCCTACGTCTACGAATTAGGCTCCGGCCAGCCGCCGAGGCACATAGGGTGCCCTGATGCGAAGAAACTGATACACTCCCCCGTATCTCTGCTGTTTCGAGGTAGCCTGCATTGGTGCACAACAAACCAAATAATGGTATTCGACACCACCACTGAGTCGTTCCGGCAGATTTGCTCTCCAATTGTCCCTGCTGGTGATACTGAATTGTTTGAGATGGGTGGCATGCTTGCCATGTCCTGTCTTAATGATGAAAGGACAACTCTTGATATCTGGGTGATGCCAAAGTATGAAGCGGAGGTCTGGGCTTTTAAAAATCATGTTGAATTACCAATTGGAGAGATCAGGTTACAATCTGGAAATTGTGACTATTGGAATGTGGTAGTCACATCTTGGGATGGTGATGTGCTCGTGCAGGTCCAAATTGATGACTGGCTACTTCAGGTTAACATTGATGGCAAGTTGGTTTCTAGTATTCATCGCAGAGGCCTCAGTCCTACTGAACATCGGCTCACACAGAGTCTTGTGCGGCATACCTTTTTCCCGACACTAGAGGGTTATGTTGTCAATGCTTCGCCTTTCATCTGACCAAAATATCATGTTGTGAACACTTATCCTTTCATCCGAGGGCTATTGAGTGTGGTGTGTCTTATCGGCCTAGCTCTCCTTATCGCATGAGCTGAAGTATGTATTTATTGTATCCACTATGAGTCCGGTAGCTTCTTTGTTGATGTATAAAACGTTATGAGCAAGAAACTTTGACTGTTAAGTTTTTCCGTTATATTTTGTTGAATATCCTTTGGGCTGAAGTGGTTGCCATGATCGTTGATGCTAAAATTACAAGTCATTTGCAGCGTTTGAAATGTTTGCCAATTGTTCTGATTCATGTTTCCATTTTCTTGAACTGAAGAATGGACTATGTTTTATTTATTTATTTATTTATATGGTGGTCTTTATAGTATTCAATAGTTAGCAATTTAGCTGCTTCTTGTCTCTTTATTGAATCGAAAAGTTGACTTGTCTTTTTATCGAAGTATTCTCTTTTTATATTACTCGCTGAATTTTAGAAGAGCTGGGAGCACTAGATTAATTGGTATTGCATTATAGCCAGCTTTCAATTCAATGTTGTGTTGCGCTTCTTTCTTGTTCATGATTCCATTGAATTTGTTAGGCATTGAAACATACTGCTATAATTCTTCCATTGTGTTGCATCTATTGGAATTAAATATATCATTTCACTTCAACTGCTAACCATTTAAAGGATTCAAAGTTTCATGTGATGTTCAGCCTTAACATATATGGTCGAGAAATGGAGCTTGTAGTGATGTGCAGAGGAAAGATTTGTCATGGTCAGGCCCAGATCCAGATTGTGTTCCCCTTTAGACTGCGAGCCATGTTTTTTTTTTCTGTGACGGATGCAATCCGTATGAATTGAGTCCGGTATGAGCCAGCTAGATTCTTTTTGATCTATACATGCTATGATCAAGAAGCTCTGACTGTTTCATGGTTGCTTGGAATGTATACCTGCGTGAATATCCTTCTGGGTTGAGTAGCTACTGTGCGGGTTGAAGCTAAAAGTTACCAAGTTGTTCTGAGCAGTATTTGAATAGCTGACAATTGATCTATCATGTGTCTTCGTTTTCGTCTTGAGCTGAAGGATTGACTTGTCCCTTTATGAAGGTCTTTGTTTTAGATTACTTGGTGAGCTTCCTAATGCTAAATATTTAGCCAATATACATTGGTTTCCTGTTTCTAAGTTTCGTTGTAGCTGATGATGAAATCAGAGCACGTCAACCTCTTTGTTGGCTAGCAAGTTGAACCTGTTTTTTGGAAGAGCTTAGAGCATGGCTTGTTGAATCACAACCTCCAAGCCAAACACTGTTGTAATCTATCCTCCTTGTATCCGTTGCAACTTCTGTTATAGTAGTTTTGGCTTTGCTGTTGCATTTTCTGGGTTCATCTTTGTGTCGTGGTCAGGCTCGTGTCTCCTTTCAGATACTACAACTGTCAGCCATGCTCCTTTCTTCCCTGTAACCATTGGTGTAAAGCAGATTGTCTCAAGCAGAACATCACCGGGAATTATATCGCTGATCAGTTTCCTATCATGCATACCCTTTTGGCACCTGCGTGTGCGAGGATTTCTTTTTGTTTCTTTTCTTTTTGCGTGTGAGATGACCATGTCGATGGAATGTACAAGTGGAACACCCAGGTTAATACTAGTAGATCCCAGCGTACATTCTCTTATTGTCACCGCAAGGTTCTTCCACCAGAGCTGACCGACTGACTGAATACATGCACACTATCTACAAACATTGTCAAAGAAATGCACAAAATGACTTGTTAAGGGAAAAAAGCTAGCAATCGTGACACAATAATTTTTGCGTCCACCTATGAGCCAGCTAGCTTCTTTATGATGATGAAGCTACGACTGTTACAACATTGCATGTTTGTTTTCTCCAGTGAATTATCCTTTTGGGCTGAATGGCTACCGTGCATGTTTATGATAAAATTACCAAGTTGTATTAGTCAGGATTTGAAATAGTGGCGAATTGATCTGCCTCGTGTCTCTGTTTTGCTTTGAACTGAAGAATTGTCTTTGTTTTTTATCGCAGTCTTCTTAAAGATCATCTGGTGGTTTTCTTAATTCTAAATATTTAGACAATATACTTTTGTTTCCTGTTTCCAAGTTCTGTTGTAGCCAACCATGAAACTAGAGCACACATTAACCTCTGTGTTGACTCTTCAGTTATAGTTCTAGCTTTGGTGTTGCGCTATTTGGGATTATCTCCAGTATCATGGTCAGGCTCTTGTTCCTCTTGAGACACTCAGCCATGCTCCTTTCTTCACTATAACCATTGGTCGAAAGCAAAGTGTCTCAGACAGGACGTCACCGGGAATTGTGTCTTTGATCATTTCTTACTGGACCATTATAGGGCAATCTCTCAGCTGCTCATATCACTTGGAGGCTACATATGTTCAGTTTTCTGTGGCACTCGTAATCTTTTGGGGTCTGTGTGTGAGATAACTTGAACCGGCGATGAATCTCTTCAATCTTCAATTGTATTGGCTGCTTTTCGTTGCAAGGTTGCTGTTCTTCTACCAGAGCTGACTGATGGACTGAAAGTACAGATTTTTTGTTCATGCGCTACAACGTTTTGTTGATGACAGCCACGGAATTTGTGGTCCCTGCAAATTCATCCGTAAAATGCTGGACTATAATCGGCTTAAATAAGTCTCAGATTGTTCAAGAACCTGGTTGGGGTGCTCAAAATCCATGGCGTCCAACTTCACTTTGTGTTACTTTGTTCATATTAATAGCTCAATTGCGAGATGGAGTAAGAACACTGTTAGTGTGATCTCCATCTTTCAGAAGTTTCTCCAGAGTGTACAGGTGCAACTTTGCACCGACGCATGATTCTAATTAAGGTGACAAACATTCTTGAACAAATCCAGAAGTTTGCAATTTGACATGGTTACTTGATCTTCTGGATGCTTTAGTCTCATTGCAGACTGAATTTGTTCACGCCATACATCCGTGTTGTGCTTCATAGGCAGCAACAATCGTTCTTATCTATATGGCTGATAGATCATCTGGTGCACCCATGAATATCTTTTATGTAGAGCACTACACAACTAAAGGGTGTGGTTTACACAATCAAGTGGGCACACATTGTTGCCTCAAAGGTGGGTATAGCGTTGATAAAACTGCATTCATATAGATTAGCCTTCCACCATAGTTAACGGCTTGTTCGGTTAATCCCTCTCACAAGGGGATTGGACAGGATTAACATTCATGTCTTTCAATTCCATCATCCAGCGGTGACATGTGCTGAACGGATGGGCGTGTTGTGCCTAGGGGAATGCCATGCATTCTGAGCACCCAACCAAGTTTGGCAACATTAACACGAATTAAATCACGATCTAGAGAAATTGACCTGCAAATTAATTTGTGGCTGAAGCGAACGACGTCAAAACATCTTTGGGGACAACCAGCTGGTGCTCGCATGCTTCCATGACTGGCAGCGTGTCGTTTGTGCACTGGATGATAGGGAGATCATGGGCATGGAAATAACCGTGTGATGCAATTCGCCCTAATGTAAACAGGTGATTAATCAGATTTTGCAAGAAACTGACCGCTAGAACGAAATATAAATAGAGAATAGACGAGACGGCTCATATCACAGACAAAAATCATCTTTGTCGAAAAAATCTTTGGGCATGGAAATCATGCTTTTGGTATTAATCTTTGTTCAATTGGCCTTTGTCGATCACTAAGGATGGCAATTTTACCCATGGGTACGGTACCCGCGGATACCGTACCCGCATGGGCAGGGTATGTGCAGAATTTTACACCCATGGGTAGTACCCATAGGATTGGTTTTAGTTCAGCCACCTTGAAGGAGGAGCAGCTGCCCGAGCTGGCGGCGAGGGCGAGGATCTCGGAGGCGTTGCCCCTGACGGCAGCGGGGCGGAGCGCAAGGAGCTCGAGGCAGGCCTCCATCTGGAATCCGGAGGCGGCGACGGCGGCACCAGGGGCAGCCGGCGGAGGCGGCGGCACGCATGGAGGGGAACCATTCCTCGGAGAGGGTGCCGACGTTGATGTAGACGGCGTTGCAGCGCGGGGTGAAATCGGGGAGCTCGCGGAGGCAGTGGAGCATGGCGGGGGAGGCGCTGGCGGCGGTGAGCGCGTTGACGGCGATGTCCATGGAGACGAGGTTGGTGATGCACTGCACCAGCGGCGCCCGCTCGGGGACGGCCGACAGCAGCACCCACGCGCGCTGGGCCCACCACGCCTCCGTCCTCTCCTCGTCCATGCCCACGGCGAGGCTGCGAGTCCGGGCGAGGGAGGAGGGGATAATTTCTAGAGCCTCGATTTATTTCCCCCCATAAAATAAGTAATTTCAGTTTAGTGAAAAATACATTCTTACACTAAAGTTATATTTTTCTTAACTTTTTTGCAAGATAACTTCTGATATATTCATCATCTGTCAAGATAGTACAACGAGCAGCAGAAGTAGAAATTACATCTAGGTCCACCACCTAGCGATGAGACTACAAGCACCGGACGAGCCGGAGGCGCGCCACCGTCATCGCCCCTCCCTCATTGGAGTTAGGCTAATCTTGTTATAGTAGACAGTCGGAAAGTCGAGCATAGGTGCGAATCTGAGTTAATCGAACAGTTATGAACTCCCAAAACTGATGATCTAACGGCTGCAAACACTGATGGCCCGAGAGGGCTGAAATGTTGCATGCTTATAATGTCTTTAAATATGTGATTGCCATCTATTTGATGAAATAAGCTAGTGCCACCAACACATGAAGATAGAGTTAGATTATTGACTTCGCTATTCTATTGAAGATGAAGTTATACATACGAGAAGTGAACCTTAGCTATTCTGTCGAGGATGAAGTTGTACATCTGAGAAGAGAACTTGAAGCTCGGCACCCTGCATAGAGATTACCGTGTGTTGATGCATGTCAATGCGCAAAAATTCCTCAATCACCGAGCCAGACACAATGTCTTTGCAGTGAAATAACCTATAGCTTGCATTGTATTTATACATGGGTGATACTTGATCGGCAATATT